AGGAAAAATCATAAAACATAATGAATATTTATTAGAGGTGTACTTGTTCTTTAAAAAGATTGATCTAGTAATACTTACACTTTATCTACCCCCAAATAACAAAGAACAAATCAAGTTGATCTAACAACAAGTCATACAAATATACCTAACTAGATTCAAAAATGCACATGTGATCATAATAGGGGATTTTAACTTTGTTGTAAATAAAAACTTAGACAAAGTATTAAACACAACAGACTCAGTCTACAAGCATCTAGCCTTGTACAAGTAGCTTCAAAATCAAGGCTTTAAAGACACATACAGATTGTTAAACCCTAGTATAAGAAAATTTACATAGTCAAATGGTGAAACATATTCAAGAATAGACCAGATTTGGGTAGAATCAAACTTGGAAAGCATGCTTGATAAAGCAAAAATCTATGATATAGCACTGATAACAGGTAGTAACTACAACACCCTAGCTATATAAATTAGTCTAACAAATAACACAGGTTCAATAAATACATAAAGACCTCTTTCCAATTACAGAGCAGGCCAGACTACCATTTTTCTTCAAATATCATTCAAAACTAATGAAATACTATATTGTAGAAAGAATACCCCCAAACTACTTTAACTTACCCGAAGCAAAACCACAACTCCCATCAATACCCCAAAATCTTATCTCAGCTATTCACCACCTATTTCCCTGTAATCCTATTGATGCATCAGAATTTCATAGATATATTGACATCCTTAGAGAACACTACAGCTTCTGTTTGTTTATCTTTTCTTATGCCTATAGCTTCTCTGTTTGAACCAGTTGCATATTCTACTGCCTGAGATTTATAGCTCTCTGTGGTTGTATTATTATTATTATTATTTAATATTTTTTTTATTTTATTATTATTTTTTATTTTTTATTATTATTTTTTTTTGATTTGTAATATGTTGGGATTCTTAATAAAAATTTTGGATTGTCAGAATTTTGTTTGTGCCAGAATTATAGATTTAGGCTTAAAGTTATGGAGATTTTATAATAAAGATTTCTGTCAGTATTAATTTAGTTACAAACATAATTATTTTATATGTATTAGTTTTCTTGTAACGATTCGATTTAAATCTTCGATTAACCAATCAAATTTTTACAACATCATGGGATGATCTACAAAAATTGGCCAATCACAATGAAAGCCCGCTATGATATTGGCATGCCTGTGACCTCTGTGCCACCCACCCTATTAACCGGCAATCTACTTCTAGCTAACGCCAACTATAAAGCAAGCCCTAAATCGGCCAAATTGCCAACGAAATAGTTCATATGGGCGAAAATTTTGATGGGAATGTTGTAAATTATTATTGCGGTTTGCATAATTTTGTGACCCCTATGATTAATTGTTTTTATGGTTAAATGACTGTGATTGCGGTAGTGAACTCAGATTCATGATAAATTGGCTAGTTTTAACAATCACGATCGCAATCACAATCATTTAATCATAAAAAAAAATTAATCATAGGGTCAAAATTATACAAACCGCAAAACGTAGTAATTTTATAACATTAGCATCACTCAGAGATAATAAATATGTGCATATAAAATAAAATTTATATGCACGTGTGCAACTAGTAGTTGGTTTGTGCAATTAAAACCTATACTTGTGCAAGTAGGTTTCGATCCGAATTTTAAAACTGGTGTGAACTTACATGCATAAAAATTGTTAAATATCAAAAATTCCGGATAACGGTAATGCAAAATTCGATAAATAGAAATTCCGGATAAGCACAATACACAAAGAAAATTTTAGTAATAAAATATGTATGAACGTACATACAAAGAAAATCTTCTTTATTTTCTCTATATAAATAGCAAAAAATAATATCCGTATCGTATAAACTTTAAATATCCATCATGCTAATTCATTCATTAATCATTTATACTTTTAACATCATCTCAACCATTCTTGTTGCTGGTCAATTTATACCTAAACAAAGATATTTACAAGCTAGTGTTCTTGATGATGATAAAATTAGGTGGTACATCTTTGGTGGTAATTTCGACACTCAAAATACCTCAGATTTGAACGAGGTATTATATCTCGATTTATCAAAACCATTTAATGTTAGTTCACCTCCATGGAATATAGATTTAACAAAAATTCCAGTGACAATAGAATTAAGTACTGCATGCATTAGTTCTTCATCAATATTTTTAATTGGTGGAGAAATGCATTATCCAGCGACAGATGTGCTTATACCTTCACCTCCACCTGTATTTACTTTAAATTTGAATAACTCTACTTGGACAACACCGAATATTTCAGAAATGAATAGTAGTTTTTTAGGTCGTCAATCATTGCAAGCAGTTATTGACGACTCTAAACGAATTTTTTTATATGGTGGTTTGAACTTGACAGATCATTTAACTTTTGATGGAATTATTTTTGGTGATATGAACATTCTTGACACTAATACAATGACTTGGTCAACCTTATCAATTCAAAATACACCACCGATAGAGGGTTATACTGCTACGTTGATTAAAACTGGGGAAATTGTATATATTGGCGGTAAAACTGTTTACACTCCCCCTGGTGTTCTTATCAATATTAACGAGGTTTGATAAAATTAATTTTATTATATATATATATATATTATTATTATTTAAAATTAACTTGAATATAAATAATTCAGATTCAATTATTTAATACAAAATCTCTTACTTGGTATAATATGGTATGTAGTAGTGATTAAATAAAAATAATGCAAATTATATTTAATTTTTAATGGCTTGTTTTTTTTTGTTTTTTTTTTTAAAAAAAAAAAAGTCAGTAACTGGTGACAAAATTTCCAATCGTTATGGACACTCGGCAGTTTTAAGTATGTATTCATTGTATATTATATTGATCAAATATTAGATTTATTAATTTTTTATAAATTTTATTGTAAGCTCAAAACGGAACTATAATTATTTTTGGAGGGCAATCATCAGCTGGTTTTATTCAAACACCTCCTGACCTTGTAATGCTAGATACAAATACTTATCCAATGAAATGGAACATTTTAAATGTTTCATCAAATAATGCGCCACCATCACTTGGATACCATTCTGCGACATTATTTGATAATTTTATGATTATTGCATTTGGTAAATATATTTTTATCATTTTTATCATTTTTAAAGAATTCAATAAACTAAAATCTTTTTACTTAAAGGTAGGATTACATTTAAAGAAAGAGTTCAGCCAGCTCAGTTTAACAACCAAGTTTATATCTTTGATACTCTAAACTACGATTGGGTAACAAATACGAGTAGGACTTCAAATAATGAAACCAAGGATGTAACTTCTGATCAAGATCAAAACAATGAAAAAATGAATATGCCTTCAAATCTACGCATTTCTGTTGTTGGAATAGTTTGCATAGTAATAGGCATACTCATTATTTTTACGATTGTTGGAGTTTTAATTTATAGAAAATATAGAAATTATATTATGGAAAAAAAAATGACTGAATCAATTGATGAACTTCTTGCTACTTAAATTTTATTACTAATTATGTTAATACAATTGTTTGTTACAAATTTTTTAATCATTAAAAGCATATAAAGATATATAACTTTATTTTATTTTTAACAATTTGTAATCTATTTTAGCATTAGCTATTTTTTTTTTTTTTAAAAAAAAAAAACAACATACTTGATACCGTAAATTGAAAGCATTAGTGCTCGGCACAATCAAACAAAAATTTGACAGTCAAATACTTGTTAATACTTGTGATTACATCAAATGATTGCAGATTAACCAATAGTATATATTTAGCTTTGGTTAATCTGCAATCGTTTGACATCCGATTTAAACATAAGTATTAACAAGTATTTGACTATCAAATTTTTGTTTGATTGTGCCGAGCACTAGATAGCATAAATGATCTTGAACTTGGCGCACTATCATTATTCAGTAAATATTATGCTGCCTTCAAATCTTTCATCATAGTTCATCTTTATTTTTAAAAAATTTGTTTCAAATCAGCCAACAAATACGTGAAATAAAATTAAATTTTTATATATATTTATTCAAAAGACAAAATTGTCAATCATCAAAAAAACAAGTGAAAAAACTTAAGGTAAAAAAAATTTTAATATAATGCTTCATATAATTCTTACACACTTCATGAACTCACATTTTAGATTAGTGTCTGAAATTAAGTTGCGGAGTCTGCAGACTACAAAATTTTAAATTTCAGGCAGACTTTGCATATAAATTTATTATAAATATTTTATAATCCGCAAGTAATTTTTTTTAGATGCAGACCCATAACTAATTTAAAAATCGAATTTCAGGCGCTAACGTCGTGTTGAGTAAAAAAAAATTTTTCATAATAAAAAAGTTACCGATCATGTTTCCAACACAAATTAGCCGTAGTTATCTAAAAATAACGATAAGAACTGAACCGTTTAAAAAAAGACAATTACTTAATTAAACTTTCGGTACTCTTGGTCTTTGTTAGGTTAAAATTGTTTATTCTTTATTACATAAACAAATAAGGTAGTTTCAATTATAAAAATTGCTATATAAGGAAATATAAATAATTTGCGGCTGTACATGCGTGCAGATAATGAATGATATGCATATTCTACGCAACTGAATCGCAGACACCTCTGTTTACCATATTAGCGGATTTGATTTTTTTGGCCTTTTTTAGATAGATTGATTATTACACAAAATTTGCTCTTAAATGACGCTGAAAGCAGCAAATGAAATACTCGTCACAATCAATAAAGACGACATCCATAATTTACGTTAAACCAGTATTATAGAAATTTCAAAGATAATACCATATGTTATTATCATCAATCCCCTATTTCTATATATTACAGTACTGATTTAACGTAAATTATGGCGTCAAAAGAGATTTAGTGCCTATACGAGATAAAAGACCAATAAAAATAAATAAAACGCTATACGTACTAGGAATGGAGACAAATATTACGTAATATTTTTCTCTAGCCCCTTCTCTACATAAGAAAATTTTGATTGACTAATTTATCAATATATTTCTAATATAAGATATCGGAGACTCCTCTCTCTCCCTCAGGATATTACATAATATTTGTCACTGCCCTAAGCTGTAGGAGTAAGTACTAATATTAATTGTTAAAATTATTCGGGTGTTTTAAGACGAGTTGATGAATTGGTCATTTTTTGATGGGTTGCAGTAAATTCGGAAAAAATTTTTCAAGAAACAGCTTTTTTACAGCTATTATCATAATTCCTGGGACACCTGTAAAAATTTGCCGAATGATTTTTCAGCCGAACTGGTTAAGTTATTGATTCGGCATGATCTGTATAATAAAATAAGCTATTTTTATATCATACATATAATGATTGTTATAACAATAATATTAACGATTTTACTTTGTACGAAAATTTATGGTTATGTCAACCAATAAACCTTAACAGGAAGGAATCGAATATAAATTAGACTTTCAATGACAAATATATTACTCGAACAGGTACCTATTGTTACTGTTGTTTG